ATCAGCCTCTGGAAGATGCAGGCAAATGTCAGAGGCACCATGGTTGGATTTGATGATCATAGAGGTCTTTTCTAACCAGAATGATTCTGTGATTGTGGTCCTGCTTGGAATGATCTGCCATTGAATTTAGTCTTGTGCTTTTTGAAGCTAAATGTTCACCTTGTGGTGGCTGAGGGAAGAGCCTGTGAGGACACCAAGGCCCGTTCTGCTGGCTCTGGTTTGTTAGCACCTCTCTTGTAATCCTGGCTGGCAGCCCCCATCCAGTCACTGCACAGCCCATGACAGCTTTCCCTCCTTGCTGTCACTCTCAGTGCCACGTGCTGCTTGTAGGGAGCAGCTTCCATTTACAGATGACATGATGGCAATATTTATCTTCTGTTAAGCAGCAAAACAGCAATTTCCTAATTTTGACACGGGCCTGGATTTAAGTCTAAGGATGTTGTCAGTCCTGGTGTCCACAGCAGCAACATTTCCTTTGATGTTTTACAAATCAATGCTCACATAACTGATGGGAAAAGCTGTGATAGTATCTGATGCCCACACAAATTATTAGCTGTGCTTCCTGCTTTAAAGCAGTACTCCTGAAATGTCAAACCTTTTGCAGTGCATGTTTGCAAACTGAACTTGAAATGATAAGCTCAGCTCTCGCTCATTATAGATAATTGTGTGTTCTCTGTGTCTTAATGCTGAGCTGCCTCTGAAGAACTCCTCAGGTTTGATCTATGTCTGTTACCTTGCAACCATAAAGAATATGCTGCTGCTAGAAGCCTTTAATTGCTTTGAAAGGTAACATTTTGCTGGGACATCCAGATTGTGAATATAATGCATGAAATTTATCTCTGATGTGTTAATTTGCTTGATGGTTGTAAAGCCAACGAGTCTCAGCATTTATTTTGGTGAGTTTTGAATTTACAGTTGTTGCTTGCTGGATTTATTTTTGCAGAGCAGTCTGTCTTAATGTTTTTTCTAACTTAAAGAGTAAAGATTAAAGCTGTTTTGTTTTTTCAAAGAGTTTCTTAGTAACAAAATCGGATTAAGTTTGTTTTTATTGTATCTAAAGCTTAATATAATATTCTCTCACCTTTTCCAAGGCTTGCTTGAAATTCCTTGACTTTCCATTACTTAAAGGCATTGAACTTGGTGCATATCATGGATTAAATTTCTCTCTTTTTTTATATTGTATATTTAGCCCTGGCGAGAGCTACATACCTGTTTGTATATTAAGAGTCTCTTCATTTGGGATCTCAGTGCCCTGGTCTAGGCAAAGTGTCTGCAGTTGTATTGAAATACTTTATTTTGCCTAAAATGATAAGAATTGAGGCCTGCACTGCAGAGATCTCCTTGCCTCAGCTTCCACAGGCACCTTCTCCTTACCTATTTATAGCTGCATCTGGATATGCTCCAATCTTATCACCAGCTTTGCTTTTCAGGGTGTCAAAAGCTCTGATTCACAAATTCTGCCCTTTTGCTTCCTTTGCCTCATCTCTATGCAGCCTCTTTTCCTGAGGCTCTGCATCAGTTCCCACCCTTTCCACACCTCCTTACTTACAGTGAAAGCTGAGCGTAGCATTTTTTCCAAAAAGCAAATTCAAACTATTTTGGTAGATCACTGTCAGAGAAAGTGTCAACGAGATTCAACATAAAGTAGTAATTGCAGTGTTAAATAAAACTGTTTTCCTTTCGTGGAAAACCAATTTCTAGAAGCTTGTCAGGCTTATTAATTTATTTCACCTGTGTTTTCAGACAGTTACTTTGATTAACTTTAAAAAAAATCCAGTCTGAAGGATGAGGAAATTCTCAATAAATGTTCCTGACTTTAATCCTTGCAGTTTGACTGTAGTGGACAGATTGCAATTTGTTCAAACTTTTCCATTTATTTTGAATTAACTCTGTTACACACATAGTTTTTATCTAGAAATATGTCTTTGTGTAAAGTGTGTGGGTGGTTCTAAATGAACAGCAGTGATTAACTGTGATCTCCAGGTCAGTTGAGCTTTTGTTATCCTGACAATATCTACATGGAAAGCTTACGTTATAACATTTTTATTGCAGCTAAATTTATAATTGTGTTGGATCTATGTATTTTCTTCATTTCTTTTTCATAACTCTGGTTTTTTATCCTGTGTAGGGTGACTTAGCAGCTGTGGAGGAGCTGCTGAAAAACGGGGCAGATCCCAATGTCAAAGATAATGCTGGCTGGACACCACTGGTGAGTGTTGAAGGCTTCTTTCTGTCATCTGTCTTCTATTCACATTTCACTTCATCCCTCCTTTCCTCTCTCATATTTTACCTCCCTTCACACGCATTTAGGTGACAGAGAATTATGCAAAGTGAAGGAGTGATGATAAACAAGGTTAAAATAATTCATCAGCAGCCACTGACCTGCCCAGGTGTCATTGTCCTTTGCTGGGGTGTAGGGCAGGCCACAAAACTGATCAGCTGGTGACTCTGCAAATGCAGACAATCCAGCTGGGATAACTCAAAAATTATCAATTCAAAACAATGCTTGTATTTAATGGGTTCCTAATGTCCTCAGTGGTTTGGAAATCTATCAAGTGATCAAGTGAAATCTATCTGGAGTGAAAAAATTGCTCGATTGAATTACAGAAAATAAACAAAAGGTTCTTGTCAACCCTGACCTCTTCCTCTCCTGCAGAATACTCCTGGTAGGCTGTAATCTGGAGAGGTTTGTTCCCTGTGGGCTAACTTGCACACAGTTGGCCTTTTTCAGTTCCTTTCAGGGCTTTCTGTCAGTGTTGGGCTGGCACAGACATATTTTATGAAAAATCTTTTTGCTAAGATCTTTTCTCAAAAGAAGCTGAGAGGCCTCAGAAACGAAATGTAACCAATGATTACCTGCTGCTGTGGAATGCAACAGGTGGGTCTGTGACTGGTCTCATGTGGTTTTTAATTAATGGTCAATCACAGTCAGCTGGCTCAGATTGTCTGGTCAGTCACAAGATTTTATTTCCCTCTCCTC